CCGGTCGAGGAGCAGTATGACTCCGGTGGCCCCGCGGCGCACTTTGCGCCGCCAGTCCCTCCCTAGGTGTCTCCTCTTCCCTCGTCGCAGTCGCCGCCGCAGCCGCCGCCGTCACCCCCGCCGTCACCGCTGCCGCAGCCGTAGCCGCCGCCGCAGCCGTAGCCGTCGCCAAAGCCCGCTGCCGTTCGTGGACTCTGGGGGTGCTGGAGTTTGAGCGGGTGCTAGTCTTGGGGCTCTTGTCCCGGCGGGCTCGGGGGTGGCACCGGCGCTCGAGACGTTTCTCGTTTTGGGGGTGTTGACATGGAGTGTACCAGAGGTAGCGGTGGTGTAGCTGGTGGTCCAGGTGTCGGCGTTGAGCAGCAGCAGTAGCAGTCGCCGCCGGTGTCCGCCCTTCGCCTTCTTGGCCTTCCCTCCCCAGACCGCTCGCCTGCGCCTCCCTCGCCGTCTCCCCCTCTTCCTGGTCACAGTCCTGTGTTTCCTCCGCCGGACTTGTCCCCGGCTCGTTTCCCCTCTCAAAACCCTCCTGATACTCCTCCTTTGTCTCTTGACCCAACGCCTCCGTCTCACGTCTGGTCTCGCCGTCCCTCTCGTGCTCGTCCTGTCTCTCCTGTTCAGCGTTCTCACCCTATATTGCTTCGTTCCCACGTGTCTCGTCCTGCCCGTTTGCCTTCGCCTCCTCCATCGTCGCTCACTGTCGTGCCTCCCCCTCTGTCTGACTACCTTCGGGCTTCTCATCCTCTTGTTCCTCGGATTTTTGCCTCCCTCGTTACCGACCCGTCTGTTCCTGTCTCCAGTCTTGACGCTCTTGTCGATGCTGTCGCTGACTTTGCCTCTACTCGCCGCCTTGACTTTGCTACTACTCTGGTCTCTGACCCTGTCTGTCCTCCGTCCATCGGGTGTGCTCCTGCCCTCGGCAGTACGTCCGGCAGTACGAGTTTGCTTTCCTGTCATAGGCTGCTCCCCATCTCTGTTCCATGCTGCTAGTCCTTGAGGGTAACCCCGACGCCTTTGACATCCCGACCCCTCGCACCTACTCTGAGGCGACCTCGTGACCCTGGGCCTCTCAGTGGATAGCTGCCATGGAGCACGAGATGGCATCTTGGAGGGCTACCGGCACCTACGTCGACGCAGTTCCCCCACCTGGGGTGAACGTAGTCGATGGCCGGTGGCTCTTCAAGATGAAGCGCCCCCCTGGAGAGCCGCCTGTGTTCAAGGCGTGCTACGGGGCTAGAGGCTTCAGACAGCGAGAGGGGGTGGACTTCTTTCAGACCTTCGTCCTGATCTCGAAGACTACTCTTTGGGCGCTGCTACACGTAGCAGCACTGCGTGACTACGAGCTCCACTCCCTCGACTTCTCCACTGCTTTTTTTTAGGGTAGCCAGCAGGAGCAGGTCTACCTACGCCGCCCTTAGGGCTTCACCGGTACTTTCCTTTTTGGGACCCAGTGGCTCCTCCGGCGCCCCGTCTACGACTTGCGACAGGTGCCCCGTGAGTGGCACAACACACTGCGTGCCACGCTAGCTGACCTCAGTTCTTTCCGTCCTCTGCTGACCCTTCGCTCTTCGTTCGTGCTGGCCAAACTCTATTCTACATCCTGGTCTACGTAGACGACATGGTCTTTGCTACAGCAGACAGAGACGTGCTGGCCTCCGTGAAGGCTGAGCTGCTGAGGCGACACACCTGCACTGACCTGGGAGAGCTGCGCTGCTACCTTGGCCTACAGATCTCCAGGGACAGAGCAGTGCGCACCATCACTCTTACACAGTCACACTCGGTGCGCCAGGTCCTTCCGAGGTTCGGTCTTCAGTTCTCCTCCGCACAGCCCACACCTCTGCCGGTAGACAAGAGGCTCTCAGCTCCAGTCCTCGAGGAGTCAGCAGAGCCCAGTGGTCCTTACGCAGAGCTGGTGGGTTGCCTTATGTATTTGATGACTTGCACTCGTCCATATCTCGCATACCCTCTCAGCATCCTGGCCCGTTGTGTGGCCACAGGCAGACACCGACCACAGTACTAGTCGGCCGCTAAGAGGGTTTTGCGTTATCTTGCAAGTACATCGGGCATGGGGCAAGTGCTAGGAGGACGCAGGCCATTGGTCCTTACTGGACACACAGACGTCTCTTGGGCAGACGACGCTGAGACCCTCCGGTCCTCCCAGGGCTACTGCTTCAGCCTTGGTTCTGGTGCCATCTCGTGGAGGTCCACTCGCTCCTCATCTGTTGCTCAGTCTAGCTGCGAGGCTGAGATCTACGCCGGTGCCATGGCGGCACAGGAGCTCAGCTGGCTGACCTTCTTGCTTGCCGACTTAGGTGAGCGGCCTAGCTCTGCCTCGGTTCTATATGCTGACAACAGGGCCATGATCCTCCTGTGTCAGGAGCCTCGACTTGAGGGCAGAGCGAAGCACATCCAGCTGCGGTACTTCCTCCAGCAGAACCACGAGCTTCAGCAGCGTCACCAGGCTCGCGTAGTACACTTGGCCTCGGGTGCCAACACAGCTGATATCTTTACTAAGGCGCTTCCGCCTAGAGATCATCAGCGGCACTGCTTGCAGTTAGGTCTAGTCCCTGTTGACTCTCACTTGCTAGGCCCTTGATTGTGTACTCCTTTCTATTTATACCTTGCAGACAGGCCTTGTGGCTTTTCCTCCAGGGGTTTGACTAGTAGTGCCGCCCTGGTTTGCTCTGTCTTGCTTGTACTCGTGCTGACTGGTCTTCGGGCCCCTGCCTCATAGGTTGGACTAGTAGTGCCACCTTGAGCTGCGTGTTTCTTGCTCAGCACTACCCCTTATCTAGCCTAGGGGGTGTATCAACTTATACATATATTGTTATAAAGAAGTTATAGGCTAGATAGGGTATGTTCTTAGTGGGTATAACCCAAACGCTATATCTCCCCTGTTCTCTCTTCTTCTATTCGTTCTTTCTAGTCTTAACACCCTGTCCTTTCTCGAACTTCTTGTAGCCTTGACGGTGGGGTTAACGACGACATGTCAGCAAACGCAGCTGACAACGCAACAAAACCATGACTTGACGAAGGTCGTCAATAACCGTCGTTCGAAATTATGCTTTTCTCGTTACTCGCTCCTCGTGATTCATAGCAGCCTGCATTGCATGCTGACTATAATGGATTAATATACGCATAAACATTTGAATGGTCTATAAGCAAGCTCCTCAACGTCTTCCCATTCAGCAAAGCTGCAAGAACAATGCATCTACGTATTATATCAACACACCTTTATAAATTACATTTAGAATCAGGCCCCAAGATATCAGCCTTTTTACGCTGATTCAGCCTTTTTTTTTTTACCTATGCTGAACTGCAAGACTTTTTGAGATGGGTAAGGCTGACAAATTCAGCCTTTTTTTATAGTGATGTCTGATGATTTCAGCGTTTTTGGTGGGGTGTAGGCTGATGTTTCAGCGAAGTCTCTGGGGGAGAGTCTGAAACCGAGTACAATGAGATTTGCGTCCCCCCGTATTTACCGCATCGAGTCACACACACCCCTTCTCTCCTCCCCCCCCCAAGTATAATTGTTTTCTGGTGTCCTCGAAAACTAGTCACACCCCTCTCATACCCTTGGCAACCCGATTGTTTTTTGTCGAAGTCCTCGAAAACCAGTCACTCCCCCTCATACGCTTGGCAACCCAAAAGATTTTGTCTAAGTCCTCGAGAACCAGTCACTCCCTCCCCCTCATGCGCTTGGCAACCCAAAAGATATTGTCGAAGTCCTCGAAAACCAGTCACACACCTCACTCATTACCTCGGCAACCATAAAATTTTGTTGAAGTCCTCGGAAACCAGTCACTGACACCCCTGTAACCCCCGAAACCCAAAGATGATTCGTCCGAGTCCTCGTCAACCAGTCACACCCCTACAGTATCATATCCCCCTCAACCAGCGGCACCTGGCCTGCTTTGACTTATTTCATTGCCGAAGCGTTGTCACCCTTCGAAAGCATGACCGATGAGGCCAGTTTCGCAACCCCTTAAACAAACGGCAAGTTTCGGTTTCTAGACGACCCGGAATTATGGCGAATATCTCACATTAGAGCATGTTGGCCCTGAGTGTCGGGAATTTGACCCGAAGCTATCGATGGTGTCGATCCTGAAACGTCAGAAATTATATGAAGTGTAAATCTCAAACCGTCCATTCTTCATGTCATATTTCTTGACATTAGAGGGGAACGCACCCTTCGTGTTTTCGGAGGAGTCATCGGTCCAACTATTACACCCGCGACTTCAGCGTGGCTGACTAGAGGCCACCGTGAACAAGGGAATGCTTGTTGCAGTTCCATAAAAGGTCATGGATGAGTCAAAAAGTTCTGCCGCCCAATTTCAGTGGGCCAGGTGTATCGCAAGCAACTGGCAGGAACCGAGACTAGACACGTTCTTCACCCTGCGCCAGTCACGCTGGCGCGCAAACACCTGCCAATCTCTGGCATTTCTACAAGTGCTTCGGCCAATCACTGGCATTTCAACTGCTTCAGGCAATCGTAAGGCTCGTTATTGAAAGTCGGTGCCAATTCCTGAAGGATTATTCAGAATGTGCATCAGACTTTTTTTCATAACTAACGCTGATTGATCAGCGATTTTTTTTTTTTTAGGTAAGGCTGAACATTTCAGCCTTTTTTTCAGGGGCAAGGCTGCAAAATCAGCCTAAACGCAGGGGGCAATGATGATAAATCAGCGTGCGTGACCCTAAACCAATCTTAGGGCCTGTTTAGAATGCATCTGAAGTGCTTGACCAGCCAACTTTGTCGTCACATTGCGAAAAGGCTGTCATATGCATTCTTAACGAATTTATTACTAAAAATGATTTTTTTCATTCATAATTTTACTATCTTCAGTATCTATTACCGTAGAAGCCATGTGTGTAGCACAAATCATAACCATATATGCTGTTGAGGACGTGCTTGTTGTGCGGATTAGGGTTTGAAGTTCGGCCTCCGTGTTAGCCGAGATGTCCAGCAACGGGTACATCCGTGTGGAGTTCCCAACACCAGACCAAGCCGAGAGTTGCAAGCAGCGCGAAACCAGCACAGGACGAAGGATTTTGCCTAGTTAGTTTCGCCTAGCTAGCAGCAGTGCTCGCTCGACTCGTAGTCTTTGCATTAGTAGGTTTTCCTATTGGCCTTTCGTCGATCTGCATTTCTCCTAGCGCCATGGGAGGTCCGTCCGCTAATACGAAGCGTAAGCGCGACGGCGAAGCAGAGCCGCACAATGATGGCGAATCTGCAGCATCAGAATCAAATGCAGCAGCTGCCGCTGAGCGGTCCGCGGGACAAGAACCACCGCCTTCTGCACCAAATCCCGAATCGAATCCACAATCAAATCTAGAATCAGATTCAAATCCTGGAGCGAAGCCCGGCGCAAAGCCCGCGGCTCCAGGAGAGCCACTGCCGGGAAAGCAGGCGGAAAAGACGTGCGTCCATGACGTGGCGCTTCCTCCGGGTTTCACGTCCGCTCTCGACCAATCAGTGCACGGAACAATTGACAGTCCGGTTTACAAGGGTCCGATGGCGAAATCGTACCCTTTTGAGTTGGACCCGTTTCAAGCGACCTCGGTAGCGTGTTTGGAGCGGCGGGAGTCCGTGCTCGTAGCAGCGCACACGTCGGCGGGAAAGACGGCGGTTGCGGAATATGCTATCGCCATGGCGTTTCGGGACAAGCAGAGGGTCATCTACACGTCGCCCCTTAAGGTAGGACGCGTTCGGAAGGTAGGCTGCCTCTTAAGGTAGGACGCGTTCTGAAGGTAGGCTGCCTCTTAAGGTAGGACGCGTTCGGAAGGTAGGCTGCCTCTTAAGGTAGGACGCGTTCTGAAGGTAGGCTGCCTCTTAAGGTAGGACACGTTCTTAAGGTAGGCTGCCTCTTACGGTAGGACGCGTTCTTAAGGTAGGCTGCCTCTTAAGTTCGTCGCCACTCTCAAGGTGCAGGGTACTCTAAGCACTAAGTGTGTTTGGAGAAATTGAGGGTTAATGGTTCAGGGTATAGGGTTGTGAGAGTTGAGAAAGAAATGCTGAAGTGAGGGTTGAAGATTCGACCACGGTTGCAATCTCGCGGTTCCGGAGTGGAGCGCTTTCAGGCAACAGCTCAGTGAGTAGTCCAGTGAGGAGTACAGCGACGTGTGGCTGATGACAGGGGATGTTGACAGGCGATGAGAAGTACCGGTCTTCCTCCTCCCCCCCTCCCCTCCTCTCCCACTCACCAGGGTCTGAGCAACCTGAAGCATGGGAGCTGAGTGAGGAGTTCAGCCCCTCTCGCCTCCTCCCCTCTCCCCCTCTCTTGCTCTCCTCGCTCACTTCTCCCTCCATCACAGGCGCTGAGCAACCAGAAGTGCCGTGAGCTGAGTGAAGATTTCAGCCACGTGGTGACTTTTGAGTCGACTCAAAAGTACCGTGAGCTGAGTGAGGAGTTCAGCCACGTGGGGTGGGGCTGATGACAGGCCATGCGATGTCACAATCTCCCCCCTTCTCCTGGCCCCTCCCTCTCCTCCATTCTACAGGCGCTGAGCAACCATTAGTACTGCGAGTTGAGTGAGGAGTTCAGCGACGTGGGGGTGATGACAGGCCAGGCGATGTCACCATCGCTCCCAACCCAACGTCCCCCCCTCGATCCCCTCCTCCGCTTCCCTTCCCCGCATATCCACTCCTTTCCTCGTCTCCCCATCCGTTTCCCCCCTAAGGCGCTGAGCAACCAGAAGTACTGCGAGCTGAGTGAGGAGTTCAGCGACGTGGGGCTGATGACGGGTGACGTCACCATCTCCCCCAACGCTGCCTGCATTGTCATTACCATACCACCGAGATCCTCGGCTCCATGCTCTAGGGGGGATCAGCGGCTCAGTGGTTCCGTCCACTCCTTTCACTTCTGCTGTCCTAGTAACACCTTCCTACCCGCCCTTTCCCATTTTCTCCTCTCCATATCCCCCTCCTCTTATCTCTTCCTTAGGCGCTGAGCAACCAGAAGTACCGCGAGCTCAGCGAAGAATTCAGCGACGTGGGGCTGATGACGGGTGACGTCACCATCTCCCCCAACGCCGCCTGCGTTGTGATGACCACCGAGATCCTCCGCTCCATGCTCTACCGCGGATCAGAGGCTTTAAGAGAGGTCGCGTGGGTGATTTTCGATGAGATTCACTACATGCGGGACCGGGAGCGCGGGGTGGTTTGGGAGGAGAGTATTATTTTCCTGCCGCCAGACGTTAAAATGGTGTTTTTGTCCGCCACGCTGTCGAATGCGCGGGAGTTTGTCGAGTGGATTACGTATTTGCATAAGCAGCCGTGCCATGTGGTGTACACGGACTACCGGCCGACTCCCTTGCAGCATTTCGCGTTTCCTTATGGCGGGGATGGGCTGTACCTCATGGTGAACGAGCAGGGGAAGTTTATCGAGAAGAACTTCAATCGCTTAGCTAAGAGTTTTGCGAAAGCGAAGGAGGCGGCGGCGGAGGCGATACCGGAAGCTGCTGGGTTTGCAGGGAGGGGGAGAGGAGGGAGGGGAGGGAGGGACGGGAGGGGAAGGGGAGGGAGGGGAGGAAGAGGAGGGAGAGGGGGGGATGGAGGGAGAGGAGGAGGTGGAGGGCCATCTGATATATACAAGATCGTGAAGGTGAGCTCTCAGTAGGAGCATAGTTGGTAGGAACAGGAGGAGGAGGAGGTGGGCCGTCTGCTTTTGAGTCGACTCAAGGGCCACCGGATATATACAAGATTGTGAAGGTGAGCTCTCAGCAGCATAGTTGGTAGGAACAGGAGGAGGAGGAGGTGGGCTGCCTGCTTTTGAGTCGACTCAAGGGCCGCCGGATATATACAAGATTGTGAAGGTGGGCTCTCAGTAGGAGCATAGTTGGCAGGAACAAGGGGAAATGGGCAATGAATTTGTGACTGGTTTCCCAGTGCAGATTCATCGTCTGTGTCCGTACGCCATGCAGCTTCCCTTGCTTCCCTTGCTTCCCTTGCTTCCCTTGCTTCCTCACAGCTTGACTCCCACCCTCCCACCCATTCCTCTGCCTGTCTGGTTTTGAGGCGCCTCAAAACCAGCTTGACTCCCACCCACCCATTCCTCTGTCTGTCTGTGTGCGTTGACTTGCAGTCCAGACCTGCTCAGAGCTCGAACTTCAGCTGCCACTCATCAGTCCTCTCCTCTCTCACGTCTCCTCTTCTCACCGTCCCTCTCCCGGCAATCCAGACCTGCTCGGAGCTGGACTTCCACCCCATGATCGTCTTCAGCTTCCGGCGCCGCGAGTGTGAGGCGTACGCCATGCAGCTGAGCAAGCTGGACTTCAACAGCGAGGAGGAGTCCAAGATGGTCAAGGAGGTGAGGAGGGGTGTTTCACGGTGGATGGCATGTCAAAGGTGTAGTGGTACTAGCAGTGGTGTGCGGGAGACTGAGTGTGTGTGAGGCGTATGCCATGCAGCTGCGCAAGCTGGACTTCAATAGTGAGGAGGAGTCCAAGATGGTCAAGGAGGTGAGCAGAGGCAAGCAGTGTTGGTGTACGAGGCGTAACTGCTAGCAGCTGCTGCGATGTGGTCTGTGACAGACAGAGTGCGAGGCGTGCGTACGCTATGCAGCTGAACAAGTTGGCCCGGACGGAACAGTGAAGAGGAGGCCGAGATGGTGAAACAGGCGAGGAGAAGCCGTGTGTTTGTGAATATTGTAAATGCAATCAACAGTGGTTGGTCAGTGACCAAGTGTGAGGAGGCCAAGATGCTGAAAGCGGTGAGCCGCAGACTCTCCTGGTAAGTGCTGCCTTAGCAGCGCTTCCGTTAGCAGCGCTCCCCTCAGCAGCGCTCGCCTCAGCAGCGCTCCCCTTAGCAGCGCTTCCGTTAGCAGCGCTCCCCTCAGCAGCGCTCCCCTCAGCAGCGCTCCCCTCAGCAGCGCTCCCCTTAGCAGCGCTTCCGTTAGCAGCGCTCCCCTCAGCAGCGCTCCCCTCAGCAGCGCTCCCCTTAGCAGCGCTTCCGTTAGCAGCGCTCCCCTCAGCAGCGCTCCCCTCAGCAGCGCTCCCCTCAGCAGCGCTCCCCTTAGCAGCGCTTCCGTTAGCAGCGCTCCCCTTAGCAGCGCTCCCCTCAGCAGCGCTCCCCTTAGCAGCGCTTCCGTTAGCAGCGCTCCCCTCAGCAGCGCTCCCCTCAGCAGCGCTCCCCTCAGCAGCGCTCCCCTCAGCAGCGCTCCCCTTAGCAGCGCTTCCGTTAGCAGCGCTCCCCTCAGCAGCGCTCCCCTCAGCAGCGCTCCCCTTAGCAGCGCTTCCGTTAGCAGCGCTCCCCTCAGCAGCGCTCCCCTCAGCAGCGCTCCCCTCAGCAGCGCTCCCCTCAGCAGCGCTCCCCTTAGCAGCGCTCCCCTTAGCAGCGCTTCCCTTAGCAGCGCTCCCCTCAGCAGCGCTCCCCTCAGCAGCGCTCCCCTTAGCAGCGCTTCCGTTAGCAGCGCTCCCCTCAGCAGCGCTCCCCTCAGCAGCGCTCCCCTTAGCAGCGCTTCCGTTAGCAGCGCTCCCCTCAGCAGCGCTCCCCTTAGCAGCGCTCCCCTCAGCAGCGCTCCCCTCAGCAGCGCTCCCCTTAGCAGCGCTTCCGTTAGCAGCGCTCCCCTCAGCAGCGCTCCCCTCAGCAGCGCTCCCCTTAGCAGCGCTTCCGTTAGCAGCGCTCCCCTCAGCAGCGCTCCCCTCAGCAGCGCTCCCCTTAGCAGCGCTTCCGTTAGCAGCGCTCCCCTCAGCAGCGCTCCCCTCAGCAGCGCTCCCCTTAGCAGCGCTTCCGTTAGCAGCGCTCCCCTCAGCAGCGCTCCCCTCAGCAGCGCTCCCCTTAGCAGCGCTTCCCTTAGCAGCGCTCCCCTCAGCAGCGCTCCCCTCAGCAGCGCTCCCCTTAGCAGCGCTTCCGTTAGCAGCGCTCCCCTCAGCAGCGCTCCCCTTAGCAGCGCTCCCCTCAGCAGCGCTCCCCTTAGCAGCGCTTCCGTTAGCAGCGCTCCCCTCAGCAGCTCTCCCCTCAGCAGCGCTCCCCTTAGCAGCGCTTCCGTTAGCAGCGCTCCCCTCAGCAGCGCTCCCCTCAGCAGCGCTCCCCTTAGCAGCGCTTCCCTTAGCAGCGCTCCCCTCAGCAGCGCTCCCCTCAGCAGCGCTCCCCTTAGCAGCGCTTCCGTTAGCAGCGCTCCCCTCAGCAGCGCTCCCCTCAGCAGCGCTCCCCTCAGCAGCGCTCCCCTTAGCAGCGCTTCCGTTAGCAGCGCTCCCCTCAGCAGCGCTCCCCTCAGCAGCGCTCCCCTTAGCAGCGCTTCCCTTAGCAGTGCTTCCGTTAGCAGCGCTCCCCTCAGCAGCGCTCCCCTCAGCAGCGCTCCCCTTAGCAGCGCTCCCCTTAGCAGCGCTCCCCTCAGCAGCGCTCCCCTCAGCAGCGCTCCCCTTAGCAGCGCTTCCGTTAGCAGCGCTCCCCTCAGCAGCGCTCCCCTCAGCAGCGCTCCCCTTAGCAGTGCTTCCGTTAGCAGCGCTCCCCTCAGCAGCGCTCCCCTCAGCAGCGCTCCCCTTAGCAGCGCTCCCCTTAGCAGCGCTCCCCTCAGCAGCGCTCCCCTCAGCAGCGCTCCCCTTAGCAGCGCTTCCGTTAGCAGCGCTCCCCTCAGCAGCGCTCCCCTCAGCAGCGCTCCCCTTAGCAGTGCTTCCGTTAGCAGCGCTCCCCTCAGCAGCGCTCCCCTCAGCAGCGCTCCCCTTAGCAGCGCTCCCCTTAGCAGCGCTCCCCTCAGCAGCGCTCCCCTCAGCAGCGCTCCCCTTAGCAGCGCTTCCGTTAGCAGCGCTCCCCTCAGCAGCGCTCCCCTCAGCAGCGCTCCCCTCAGCAGCGCTCCCCTTAGCAGCGCTTCCGTTAGCAGCGCTCCCCTCAGCAGCGCTCCCCTTAGCAGCGCTCCCCTCAGCAGCGCTCCCCTCAGCAGCGCTCCCCTTAGCAGCGCTTCCGTTAGCAGCGCTCCCCTCAGCAGCGCTCCCCTCAGCAGCGCTCCCCTTAGCAGCGCTTCCGTTAGCAGCGCTCCCCTCAGCAGCGCTCCCCTCAGCAGCGCTCCCCTTAGCAGCGCTTCCGTTAGCAGCGCTCCCCTCAGCAGCGCTCCCCTCAGCAGCGCTCCCCTTAGCAGCGCTTCCGTTAGCAGCGCTCCCCTCAGCAGCGCTCCCCTCAGCAGCGCTCCCCTCAGCAGCGCTCCCCTCAGCAGCGCTCCCCTTAGCAGCGCTTCCGTTAGCAGCGCTCCCCTCAGCAGCGCTCCCCTCAGCAGCGCTCCCCTTAGCAGCGCTTCCGTTAGCAGCGCTCCCCTCAGCAGCGCTCCCCTTAGCAGCGCTTCCGTTAGCAGCGCTCCCCTCAGCAGCGCTCCCCTCAGCAGCGCTCCCCTTAGCAGCGCTTCCGTTAGCAGCGCTCCCCTCAGCAGCGCTCCCCTCAGCAGCGCTCCCCTCAGCAGCGCTCCCCTCAGAGAATCAGGACTTTCCAGCAGTGCGCCCGATGCTGCCGCCCTTGCCTACACTTGCCCTACCCTCGTCCTCATGCCTCCTCCCCCCCCCTTCCTCCTAAAATCCCCTTGGTCTTCAACACCGCCATATCTGTTCTTCCCTCTGAAGACCAGTTACCAGCAGTGCGCCACATGCTGCCTTGCCTACTACACTTGCCCTACCCTCATCATGCTTCATCTCCTTCCCTTCCTCCTAACCTCCCCCAGGTCTTCAACAATGCCATCTCAGTGCTCCCCTCAGAGGACCAAGACCTGCCAGCAGTGCGCCAGATGCTGCCACTGCTGCAGCGGGGAGTAGGCGTGCACCACTCTGGGCTGCTGCCTATCCTCAAGGAACTCATTGAGATTCTGTTCCAGGAGGGGCTCATCAAAGTGCTCTTTGCCACTGAGACGGTGAGTTGGCGTGGTGGGGTTGGCTGGTGTGTTGCCGCTGCTGCACATGCTGCCACCGCTGCAGGGGGGGGTGGGCGTGCACCACTCCGGTTTGCTCCCCATTCCTAAAGAGCTCATTGAGATTCGGTTCCAGGAGGGACTCGTCAAAGTGCTTTTTGCCACTGAGACGGTGAGCTCGTGGTGTTGTGGGATTGGTTTGTCACTGCTGCTGCCGCCTCTGCTGCTGCCGCCTCTGCTGCTGCCGCCTCTGCTGCTGCCGCCTCTGCTGCTGCCGCCTCTGCTGCTGCCGCCTCTGCTGCTGCCGCCTCTGCTGCTGCCGCCTCTGCTGCTGCCGCCTCTGCTGCTGCCGCCTCTGCTGCTGCCGCCTCTTCTGCTGCCGCCTCTGCTGCTGCCGCCTCTGCTGCTGCCGCCTCTTCTGCTGCGGCCTCTGCTGCTGTGGCCTCTGCTGCTGCCGCCTCTTCTGCTGCCGCCTCTGCTGCTGCCGCCTCTGCTGCTGCCGCCTCTTCTGCTGCGGCCTCTGCTGCTGTGGCCTCTGCTGCAGTCACCTCTGTTGTGGTCGCCTCTGCTGCTGCTGCTGCTGCAGTGGGGGGCAGGCGTGCACTACTCGACTCTGCTGCCTATTCCCACTTGTTTGTGATTGACCATGACATGCCATGAGCCTCAACATGCCATGAGCCTCAACATGCCATGAGCCTCTTAACTCAACATGCCATGGGCCTCTCAACATGCCATGAGCCTCTCAACTCAACATGCCATGAGCCTCTCAACTCAACATGCCATGAGCCTCTCAACTCAACATGCCATGGGCCTCTCAACATTCCATGAGCCTCTCAACATGCCATGGACCTCTCAACTCGGTTGTGTCCACAGCCACGCACAAGTGCCCCATAACCCCCCACCTTCCCCAACCCCGTCCCGTCCCCTATTCGCACACTCCCCCCCCTCTTCCCCCCTCCCGGCCCATCTGCACTTCGCGTCATGGGCTTTAACTGCCCGGCGCACCCTGTTGTTGTCACGGCCACACACGAGTATTCCATCCAAACTCTCTCTGCCAACCCCCCACCCACTCTCGTCCACACCCACACCCACACCCACACCCACACCCACACCCACACCCACACCCACACAACCCCTTTCTGCTCAACCCTTCTGCAGTTCGCCATGGGCTTGAACATGCCAGCGCGCACCGTTGTCTTCACAGCCACGCACAAGTGACCCTTAACCTCCCGCCCGCCCCTCTTTCCTGTAATCGTTACCCACGTATTCCCCGTAATATCTGCAGTTCGCCATGGGGTTGAACATGCCAGCTCGCACCGTTGTCTTCACAGCCACGCACAAGTGCCCCATCCCACTCCACACTGACGCATCCCTTTCTGCTCAACCCGTGTGCAGTTCGCCATGGGTCTCAACATGCCTGCTCGCACCGTTGTCTTCACGGCCACGCACAAGTGGGATGGCGAGGCCAACCGGCCCATGCACTCAGGGGAGTACATCCAGGTGCGTGTATTCTCCCCCTCCCCCTCTCCCTCCCCCCTCCCCCCCCCGTTACCCCCCTCTTCGTCTCTTCGTGTGAGAAAAAGTGTGTTGCGGTACCAGTCAAACCCCATAACACCATCACAGCCACACACGCACAAGTGGGATGGCGAGGCCAACCGGCCCATGCACTCAGGGGAGTACATCCAGGTGCGTGTACCTCTCCCCCTCCCCAACCCCCCTTACCCCCCTCAAGCCACCTCTTGGTTTCCCCTTTCACCCTTCCCCGTCATCGCCTCCACCCCTCCCTCTTCCCCCTTCACCTCCTCCTCTTCCTCTGCCCCCCTCCCCTCTCCCCCCCCACCGGCCTCCCCTTTCCCAACTCCCCCAGCACCCACCCCCACCTCCCCCTCTGTGTGTATCAAACGAGTGGGCGGGCAGGGAGGTGAGGCAAGGATCTGTTGTGAAGATTCAATCATGCCTTCCATCTATGATCCATCCTCCTTGACCCCCCGTGCCCCCACCTTGACCGCCCCCCCTTGCCCCTTGTGCCCCTTCCCCTTGCCATCAGATGAGTGGGCAAGCCGGGAGGCGAGGGAAGGGCGGATCTGTTGCGATGACTTAACGCATTCCTTCCTTCCGTCCTCCTTTGACACGCCCTCTTGCCCCCTTGTGCCCCTCGTGCCCCCGCCTTGACCCCCCTTGCCCCCCATGCCCCTTCCCCTTGCCATCAGATGAGTGGACGAGCCGGGAGGCGAGGCAAGGACAGCAAAGGGATTGTCATCGTCATGGTCAACGAGGAGGTGAGGAGCGGTGGTGAGGGGTGGTGAGGGGTGAAGAATGGTGCCAGGACTAGGGGTAACAAATTGTGCTGAGGGATGAGGAGCGGTGCTGAGGTGTAAGAGATGAGGAACGAGGGGCTGGTGGTGGTCCTTGTGTTCTTGGACCTTACGTTTTCAGCTTCGTCTGCCAGACCTACTATGTGCTAGTGTATGCACCTCTGCGGTGTCAGTATATGTGTGTGTGTTTTCTATGCTCCCATGTGTCCTCCTGTGACCTGTCTTTGTACGTCAGATGACCATGGAGGCGTGCAAGGAGATGAAGCTGGGGAAACCAGCCCCCTTGGAATGCTCCTTCCACCTGGCCTACTATGCGCTGCTGAGTGTTTCCAACCCTGCATCTTTGCTTCTCCTGTCTATGTGTCTGTGTGTGTTCTCTCGATGCCCAGATGACCATGGAGGCGTGCAAGGAGATGATGCTGGGCAAGCCAGCCCCGTTGGAGAGCTCCTTCCGCCTGACCTATTACGCGCTGCTGAATCTGATGGCACGGGCCGAGGGGCAGTTCAACACAGAGCACGTTATCGCGCACTCCTTCCACCAGTTTCAGCACGATAGGGTATGTGTCTGTCTCCATGTGTGTGTGTGAGAGTTGGGGGCTGGGCGGGGAGAGAGCTCCTTCCGCCTGACCTTCAAGGCACTGCTGGATCTCATAGCTCGGGCCGAGGGGCAGTTCACCACGGAGCACGTGATCGCACACTCCTTCCACCAGTTTCAGCACGATAGGGTATGTGGATGGGTACGGTTGGGGGTACGGTTGGGGGTACGGTTGGGGGTACGGTTGGGGGTATGGTTGGGTGCGTGGTTGGGGGTACGGTTGGGTGAACGGTTGGGGGTACAGTTCGGGGTACGGTTGGAACTTGGGGGTGCAGTTGGGGGTGCAGTTGGGGGTGCAGTTGGGGGTGCAGTTGGGGGTGCAGTTGGGGGTACAGTCGGGGCTACAGTTGGGGCTACAGTTGGGGGTTTGGTTGGGGGCATGACATGAGGTGGAGAAGAGGCTGAAGCAGCATACCCAGTTCCCCCCCCCCTTCCTCCCCCCCTCGTCCCCCTTCGCCCTCCCCTCCCTGGTCGGTCGCCCCCCAGCTCATTCATATTTCTCTCTTTCCTTCTCTTCCCCTCCTCTTTCCCTTCTATTTCCCTTCTCTTCCCATACGTTCTCCGCTACGCCCCTATCTTTCACCCCCTGGCAGCACGTGCCTGAGGTGGAGAAGAGGATTAAAGAGCTCCAAGTTAACATTTCTCTCGCCCTTGAAGTTAGCATTGCCCTCTCCTCCTCCCCTTACCTCCGCGCTCTCTCCCTCCTTTTCTTCCCCTATCTTTCATCCCCTGGCAGCAAGTCCCTGAGGTCGAGAAGAGGATCAAAGAGCTACAGGCAGAGGCAGACGCTTTAGAAGCTGGGACTGAGGTGAGAGACGATGGACTTCTGGGGGGAAACCTGTGAGGAATGACTGCATTGAAGTGTGGAGTGAGAGAATTACTGCAGGCAGAGGCACACGCTTTAGAAGCTGGGACTGAGGTGAGAGCTATCGGATTTTGGGGGGAATTAGGAAGGAGGCTGGGTAAACTGAAGTGAGCGTTTAAGTGTAGGGAAGAGTGTTAAGGAGTTTCAGGCAGAGGCATATGCGCTGGAAGCTGGGACTGAGGTGAGTGAGAGAGTGACATTTTTTAGGCGCTTCAAAACTAAAATGGACCGTGGAAGCTGGGCTGGGACTGAGGTGAGTTAGAGAGTGACATTTTGTAGGCGCCTCAAAACTAAAATGGACTGTGGAAGCTGGGCTGGGACTGAGGTGAGGGATTTGAAAAACATTTACTGGTGCACGGTGATGCCACCTGGTGAGGTGAGGTGCGGGGGAGAAGGTGAAAGAGCTGCAGGAAGAAGCAGGCACAGAGGTGAGGAGTGAAGGGGAGGGGGGTGTATAGGAGGAGGAAGAATGGCAACGACAGGTGCATGCATGCACTTCTGCAGTGAATTGTCGCCTCACATTGTTCCTTTTTGTTTGTATGTTTGTTTGCTTGCTTGCTTGTTTTTCTTGCACAATAGTGTTTGACTTTTTGAATGCCTCTTTACTTGGCCGCCAGCCCCTCCCTCCCCCTTTTTTTTGTTTCCAGGAGAAGTTACGCATATGCTGGCTGAGAGGATAGAATTTTGTTTTTGGTGACCATGTATGGTGGCGCCTATCGCTGGCTGAGGGGAGAGCTGACTCAAGTCAGAGACGTTGGCTTCTCCGACACAACAATTTCCTCCTGGGATCACTGAAAGCCAAAAAAAAAAAAAAAAAAAAAATCCAACACAACTAGGCACTCAAACGCAGTTGTGTTGGAGAAGCCAGCATCTCCGACTTGAATGATGCGTTTGAAGGGGAGCAGACTCTCACAACCGTTCCCCTACCCTCCTACCCCTCTCAATCCCCGTCAACCCCCCTTCTTCCCGCCCGCACCCATCCCCACAGGATGAGATCCGCGGGTACCACACGCTGCGCCTATCGCTGGCTGAAAAGGAGAGCCGACTCAAGGCGGAGATGGAGATCCTGTCAGGTCCAACACAGGGCACTCAAACGCAGTGACACGTCTGTTTTTGCAAGGTGTTTTTGAGAATTCTCAAAAACACCCTGCACTCAAACGCAGTGACACCTCTGTTTTTTTCTTCCCCTCTTTCCTGCGGGACGAGATCCGTGGGCACCACATGCTGCGGATGCCCTTACCAGAGTAGGAGAGCAAACACACACAACTGTCCCTCACGACCCCTTTCCTCCCCTGCACAACCATCCCCACAGGACGAGATCCGCGGGTACCACACGCTGCGCCTATCGCTGGCTGAGAAGGAGAGCCGACTCAAGGCGGAGATCCTACGACCCGATAGATGCCTGCACTTTCTGCAGCCAGGCCGCCTGGTGAGTGTGCAGGTCCCTAGGTCATCCGTGAGTGGAGATTGGGAGCCCTTAACTGAGAAGGAAAGCAGACTGAAAGCGGGGAGATCCTTCGACCCGATAGATGCCTGCACTTTCTGCAGCCAGGCCGCCTGGTGAGAGGGAGGCATGGGTGTGCGTGGCTGTGCTTGTGACATGTTCGTCTTCGGGGTCTTACGAGTCGGTGCCAGAAAGGGAGCAGGCTCAAACTTCAAAGTGGAGGTCTTGCGGCCCGACAGATGTCTGCACTTCCTTCAGCCAATGGTGAGACTGGTAAGAGGGAGGCATGGGTGTGCGTGGCTGTGCGTGTGACAGGTTCGTCTTCGGGGTCTTACGAGTCGGTGCCAGAAAGGGAGCAGGCTCAAACTTCAAAGTGGAGGTCTTGCGGCCCGACAGATGTCTGCACTTCCTTCAGCCAGTGGTGAGACTGGTAAGAGGGAGGCATGGGTGTGCGTGGCTGTGCGTGTGACAGGTTCGTCTTCGGGGTCTTACGAGTCGGTACCAGAAAGGGAGCAGGCTCAAACTTCAAAGTGGAGGTCTTGCGGCCCGACAGATGTCTGCACTTCCTTCAGCCAGTGGTGAGACTGGTAAGAGGGAGGCATGGGTGTGCGAGGCTGTGCGTGTGACAGGTTCGTCTTCGGGGTCTTACGAGTCGGTGCCTGAAAGGGAGCAGTCTCAAACTTCAAAGTGCTCTATCTTCCCTCTATCCCCCCTTTGTTCTCTCAGATCCGGACGGTGGACGGCCTAGACGACTGGGGGTGGGGCTTGATAGTCAACGTGATGAAGCAGACGTTTCGCAGTGACCCCTCCTCTCCGCGCATCACGCCTTCGTTCGTTCCACTCATTCTCCACCCCATTGTCGGTTTCCTGTGGGGTACTTTCCCAGATCCGGGTGGTGGACGGCCTAGACGACTGGGGCTGGGGAGTCATAGTCAACGTCATGAAGCAGACGTCTCGCGGCGACCCCTCCTCTGCCCTCATCACCCTATCTTCTTCTCTCCTTCGTCCCCCTTGCGCTATTGCAGATCCGAGTGGTGGATGGCCTAGACGATTGGGGGTGGGGCGTGATAGTCAACGTGATGAAGCAGATGTCTCGCGGCGACCCCTCCTCGGCTCTCATCACGCCCTCCCCAACCGCCTCTGCTGCCGCCGCTGCTCCTCTCTCTTGCACCTCGTATCTGGTTGACACTCTGCTGCTCTGCACTCCGGTGGAAAAAGAGAGTGGCGGGCATGATAAAGAAAAAGAGGGCGGCACTCCTGCGCTCGTCCCGCGCCCGTGCCCCCTGGATGGGGATGGAGAGATGCACGTGGTGAGTTGCCCTTCTCTGCTCCTCCCTCATTTGCCCCTGTCTCCTGCACCTTGTATCTGGTCGACACTCTGCTGCTCTGCACGCCGGTCGAAAAAGAGAGTGCGGGGCCAGGATAAAGAGAAAAAGGGTGGGACTGCTGTGCTCGTCCCGCACCCGTGCCCCCTGGAGGGAGAGGGGAAAATGCATGTGGTGAGTGACTCGCATAGGAGCACATGGTCCCCCCCAGTTTTGAGGCGCCTCAAAACTTCCTCCCTTTTGTTTCCCCCAGATCCCTGTCAAGCTAGCAGCAGTGTCGCGCATAGGGGCGCTGGGGATCGCTCTCCCAACCGACCTGAGGCCCGAGGAAGCCAGGGAAGCCGTGCTGCTGACTCTGGAGGAATGCGACCAAGCTGGGGATGTGACCTCACTTCCCCTCTCCCCCCCCTTTCCCTTTCCTCCCTGTCGTTTCCCCCAGATCCCTGTCAAGCTGGCAGCAGTGTCGCGCATAGGGGCGCTGCGAATCGCTCTCCCAACCGACCTGAGGCCCAAGGAAGCCAGGGAAGCCGTGCTGGTGACGCTAAGGGATGTGACTAAGCGGTTTCCGGATGGCCTGCCGATCCTAGACCCCGTGGAGGTACGTGAAGGAGAGAATGTGCAGGGAGATGCTCGGCGATTGGGATAAGAGAGGCCGTGCTGGTGACGCTAAGGGGCATGACGCAGTTTCCTGATGGCCTACCAATCCTAGATCCTGTGGAGGTATGTGGGTGGGGACCCTGCTAAGAGAGCGGTGCTGGTGACATAGAGAAAGGCGACCAAGAATTTCAATGACGGGCTGCCAATTTGAAATTCCAACATTTAGTTCATATGCCCCTCGCTTGTGGAGCAGTCAGGTCCAGTATGTGGGCATTGACACAGATAGGTCATTACCACCGGACCTGGCTCGTACGTTTCATCTCAGTTTCTCATTGCTTTTTTTTTCTCTCATTTTTATTTTTTTCTCATTTCTATTTGTCCCCTTCCTCTCAGGATATGGGCATCGAGTACACTTCATTCTAGTGTAGCCTAGTGCACCCCTGAAACTCGATTGGCATGCACATAATGCACCCCTGAAACACGATTTGCATGCGCATAATGCACCCCTAAAACACTATTTGCATGCGCACAATGCACCCTTAAAACGCGGTTTGCATGCACCACCTCTCTCCCTGTCAGGATATGGGTATTCACGACGATTCATTTCTGGCGCTGGTTGACTCGATCGACAAAGAAGAACAGCAGCTATCCAAGCATCCCCTCTTTAAGGTAACTCGTTTCCATCCACGTTCGTTATTTTCCCATTTTGATAGCAATATTATATTCTTGTGGTCGTAAGTTTTTTGCCCACTGTTTAAAGCCACTCCAAATGCCTCAAAAAGCTCCTTCTTTGTTTTCGAGGCATTTACGCCCCTCTTTCCACTCTCCCCTCGTAAGCTAGAGGCTCTCTCATCGCCCTTGTCTCTCTAGCTCCTTCCACCCCTCTCTTCTTCAAGCGGAGACAGCAGAGCGGAGGGTAGAGCTGCCCAAGGGGCTGGGTCTGCTGCTTTGTAGAAGCTCTGTCCCTCCCCGGCACACACGCACACCCTATACCCCCCCTGCCGCCTGCCTTGATCTCTCCAGGCGGAAACAGCGGAGCAGAAGCTAGAGCTGCTCAAGAGGCGGGGACAGCTGCTTGCAGAGGCACAGAGGCTCAAGATGAAGACGCGGGAGTCGCAGGTGAGAGGGGGAGTCGCACGTGAGAGGTGGGAAGGAGGGTATGGAGTAGAGACAGCAAAGCACTGCGAGCTGCTCAAGAGGCGGGGACAACTACTTGCAGAGGCTCCTCAAAACTAGACTCTGTCTGTCGAGCTGTGCAATCGGTCCCGGGTGCTCAAGCGCCTGGGGCACATCGATTCAGACGGCGTCGCGCAGCTCTCACGGGCCAACCCTCATGTCTCCCCTGTCCTGTCCCTGTCTCTGTCTCCTGTGCCTGTCCATCCAGCTCAACCTGTTCAAATCCGAGCTGCGCAATCGGTCCCGGGTGCTCAAGCGCCTGGGGCACATCGACGCGGACGGCGTCGTGCAGCTCAAGGGCAGGGCGGCGTGCGTCGTCACGACAGGGGATGAGTTGCTGGTGACGGAGCTGATGCTGGAAGGGGCGTTCAATGGCATGGACCACCATCAACTCGTGGCGGTTGCTAGCTGCTTTCTGCCTTCAGAGAAGTCCAACGAGGAACAGGTGGGCCTCTGGGTCAACTTGAAAGACATTCGTCCGACGAGCTGCTGGTGAGGTGACGGAGCTGATGCTGGAAGGGGCGTTCAACGCCATGGACCACCACCACCAGCTGGTGGCGGTTGCTAGTTGCTTCCTGCCTTCGGAGAAGTCCAACGAGGAACAGGTATGTATTGTCTTGGGAGTTGTAACGGTATGTATTGTCTTGCGAGTTGTAACAGTATGTATTGTCTTGGGAGTTGTAATGGTTTGTATTGTCTTGGGAGTTGTAACAGTATGTATGTATTGCCGTGGGAGTTGTAACGGTATGTATAGTCGTGGGAGTTGTAAAGGTATGTATTGTCTTGGGAGTTGTAACAGTATGTATTGTCTTGGGAGTTGTAACGGTATGTATTGTCTTGGGAGTTGTAACAGTATGTATTGTCTTGGGAGTTGTAACGGTATGTATTGTCTTGGGAGTTGTAATGGTTTGTATTGTCTTGGGAGTTGTAACAGTATGTATGTATTGCCGTGGGAGTTGTAACGGTATGTATAGTCGTGGGAGTTGTAAAGGTATGTATTGTCTTGGGAGTTGTAACAGTATGTATTGTCTAGGGAGTTGTAACAGTATGTATTGTCTTGGGAGTTGTAGCGGTATGTATTGTCATGGGAGTTGTAAAGGTATGTTATGTCTTGGGAGTTGTAATGGTATGTATTGTCTTGGGATTTGTAACGGTATGTATTGTCTTGGGAGTTGTAACGGTATGTATTGTCTTGGGAGTTGTAACGGTATGTATTGTCGAGTTGTAACGAGGAACAGGTGGGTAGCTGAAGTCTGTCAAGTGGGCAGGAAGCAAGTAAGTCACTTGGTTGGAACAGGCTTTTAACGCCATGGACCACTGCTGGTTGGTTGCTGTGGCCAGTTGTTTCTTGCCCATGTCAGGTGGATAATAAGCCTTGCGTTAACACACTCGTTGAGGCCGCCCAGCATGACGTGCAAGTGGATTTTAAACCAGATTCTCTTCCCTTCCCCCCCTCTCCCCCTCACCCCACCCTGTATCCTCCCTCTCCCCCTTCCCCTCCCCCATCCCTGTATCCTCCCTCTCCCCCTTCCGCCCCTGCAGCCGGTGTCAGCGGAGTTAACGCCCCACTTCAGCACGCTAAGGTCAGCAGCGCAGCACATAGCGCAGGTGCAGATTGAGGAAATGATAGAGGTCAACAAGGATTGGAGGTGCGGGTGCTGAAAAATCCGTCTCACGTAGTCTCCCTTCCACTTTTCAATGCCCTGAACGCTCCCCTTGCAGCCCGTATCAGCAGAGTTGAAGCCGCACTTCAACACGCTGAGGGAAGCAGCGCAGCACATAGCGCAGGTGCAGATCGAGGAGAAGATAGAGCTCGACGAGGAGGAGTATGTGGACCAGTTCCGACCGACCCTGATGCACGTCTTCTACCAGTGGTCTAAGGTGCGAGGCTTGAATGGTAATGGAATGTACGCATTGAGGGCACATTTGGAGAAGGCAGGGAGAGATGATCGAGATTGACGAGGAGGAGTACGTGGACCAGTTCCGACCGACCCTGATGCACGTCTTCTACCATTGGTCTAAGAAGCGATGGATGTACACGTTTCGAGGTGCCGATGAAAGGGAGTGCATGTGGAGAGTGAGGAGAAGATAGTGATGTGACTTTTGAGCCGACTCAAAAGTGCATGTGGAGATTGAGGAGAAGATAGGGATGGACGAGGAGGAGTATGTGGATCAGTGCCGACGGCCGACGCTCATGATTGTGCTCAATGTACGCATTGAGGGCGCATTTGTACGGCCGACGCTCATGATTGTGCTCAACATACGCATTGAGGGCCCATTTGTACGGCCGACGCTCATGATTGTGCTCAACGTATGCATTGAGGGCGCATTTGTACGGCCGACGCTCATGATTGTGTTCTACCAGTGGTGCAAGGTGCGTGGCCTGAAAAGGGGAGAGAACGTGAGAGGGGGCCGAACGGGGAGGGAATGTATTTGTGGAGGCGGACCTGATTGAGAAGGTCGAGATCGATGAGGAGTATGTGGGTCACTTCCGACCTACCCTTATGAACGTCTTCCAAGGAGTATGGGGGTCCAAGTTCCGACCTCCTACCCAAGGAAACGGGAATGCGCTGGTTCTTGCTGCGGTGGAGCAGGATAGGTTTGTTGTGACTGTCGTTCCACTTGGTTCTTCTTACTGTGGTGGGAGCCATTGGGGTTGATTGTAAGAGGAGAAACGGTAGGTCACAACTTGTCATCTTATCTGTTCAAGTTTGGCTTGTTGCGTTCACAACTTCTCATGTTCCTCTGTGTGCTCCATGCAATGTCTATGTTGAGGAACGCAGGGTGAATCTTTTGGCAAGGTCATTGACAGCACTGATGTGTTTGAGGGAACGATCGTGCGCGTGGCGCGACGCCTTGATGAGCTTCTCAACGAGGTATGTCTTGTTGCACTCCACCGTGTGACTAGAATGTGTCCGCCGTCAAACCGTGAACGTCGGTTATTGTTCTTTTGCATTCGTCTTGGGTTCCTTTTGATGGCAAGCAATTGGGGAACAAGCTCAAGCAACCGTCAGTTGTTGTTCTTTTGTTCTTTTGTGTGCAGATGAAGTTGGCCGCTCAAGCAATTGGGGAACAAGCTCTTGTAGAGAAGTTCAGCAAGGCTAGTGAGAGCATCCGCAGAGGTATTATGTTCGCCAATTCGTTGTACGTTGAGTAACACGGTTTGTACATTGGTCCCATGTTTTGAGTGTTATTCCCACAATGTAATATCCATGTGAATACATATGCTTGAATCACTTTTAAGAGTATACGGTACCCTATGAGGGAGAAATGGAGATGTAACTCGTTATTCAGTCGTGTGGAATCGGCTACTGGGGAAGGCAGCATTTAGCCACAATTCTAGAGCGAATACATACACAATTGCGCGATTCGGAGGGGGCGGTGGGTTTTGAAATATCAGCGAAGTAAATTTCTTCGCCTTGTGGACTTCGCTGTAAAGGGTTACAAGCCTGGCCACCTTGGAGGAACCGTCAATAGATGTCGTAAGCCTTCGCCACTCTACCAGTTCGGGTTTTCGCCTCAAATACAGTGCGCCTCGATATCACCGTCGATCTGTTGAATCGGACGGTTTAGAACAACCATCGGCTTGGAATCAACTCTGGACATCGGACATGGGTGACCGACAATGTCCATCTCCTGAGTGCCAACCACCATCCCCGCGAGTACGACTGTACGACGAACAAAACATCCCATGTCGATGTCCTTTTTCGAGAACAGGGCCTGAAGTTCGAAAATCTAGAGGGTTTGTTCACTTTTTAGTGTGGTATCGTATGATCTACTACGATTCAGCACGGTTGACGTTCATTGCTGGCATTTTCTGTGAGAAGTACCGCGCCATTATCTGCATCGTTGGATTTCACGCTGTTTTAGCCGTCATGGCCAGCTCTCCGTGCTCGTCGCACATACTGTACTGCTCTAACACGGATCATGGCGTCCGTAAAATGCCGCTCAAAACAGCAAAAACTTTGCCAATAGATTTCCATGCTGCCAGAAACATCACGCGGTTACGACTTCGACGCGTTCACCGGACGTCTAGTTCATAATAGTATGTAGAGACTCGAAAGCTTCGTGACGCGCCAAAATCGAAGACAGCCGCGCCATTGTTGACTACCAGTTTCTGGGTGAACGATTAGTCCAAGACACGCGATGCGTTGGACCCAGCTGTCGCGGCTTCCCTAGGTTGTCCCTCCGCCAGATCCGGAGCTTATAAAGAGCCGCATTTATGTTAATCAAGGGCTGCTTGATTTAGCATCTACTCTTTTCCTCCTCGCAATTGACGAGTGGTTAGCACCTTTGCTTCCCCGTACCATCACGACTTGTGATGTGCGAGCAACCAGTGTCTTGACGTCTCGAACCTGCCTTAGAGCCCTGCGAACCTGCGAACCTGCGAACCTGCGAACCTGCGACCAGACCGATCCCTGCTATCCTAAACTTGGAGTTTCAAGCTGCGATCACTCTCACCCCGCGATTATCAACTTGAGAACAGATGGATCCACACCACAGAGCCGCTGCTTCCCGGACGCGGCTTTAGCGATACCCGGCTGCCCTTGAGTTGCGATTCTCGTCCTGCGATTCTCGTGACCTTACGATTACCCTGCGATCGCCCTGCGATCACCCTGCGATTCTCAACTTAAGCGCTGATGGATCCACACCACAGATCTGCTGCTTCCCCGTCCGAGCGACGGCTGCGCCTGGGAGTGTCATCCGCGTTAAAGCCTTTCGCGTTACGCCCTTCAGCGTCGCCGCATTTCCGGCTTACCAGCGGCGCTAATCACTTGCGTGATCGGCGTTCGCTCCGCCAATTGCCCCCCGGTCTCCTTCGCTCCTATCCCTTCCTCCCTCACCTCATCCTTCTTCTCCTCCTCTCTCACGCACCCTACTACTCTGCAGCTGCTGCTACATCTGCTGCTACAGCTGCTGCTGCAGCTGCTGCTACTGCAGCTGCTGCTACTGCTGCTGCTACAGCCGTTTATCCGTCGCGAGATGCTGGCCATGTTACGTTCACGAGTGCGAATCATGGCGGGGAAAACGTTAGCGGCGGTGTAGATACCTCCGCGCGGAGAGTCTTAACGGAGCCGACTGTAGCGAGTCTGACGCCAGCGAACGAGATCCTGCAAGTGTGCCGATCCGCAGGGCCCGCCGCCATCACCATCAGCCCCGACCTGAACGGACAGACCTGGAGAGGTTGGGGCACGTCCCTTGCTTGGTACGTGTCATCAACATTGCTCATTCCTCTCTCCGCCTTTACCGCAGGGCCCGCCGCCATCACCATCAGCCCCGACCTGAACGGGCAGACCTGGAGAGGCTGGGGCACGTCCCTTGCGTGGTACGTCGTTCACCGCGCAGTGCAGTATCCCTTTGAGGTCATGTCGTTGGCTATGCTGAGGTGCGCTGGCTTGCTCTGTTTGATCTCAACGGACGGACCTGGAGAGGCTGGAGCATGTGACTTTGGAGTCGACTCAAGAGTCATTCCGCACAAGGTACCAATCCCAAAGTCACCCAAAGTCCGCTCAAAAGTCACCTGGGGAGGCCTCTGATGGAGGGATTCGTACCTTGTACCTGGGTACGGAATGACTTTTGAGGGTACGAATCCCTCCATCACAGGCCTCCCCAGGTGCCTTTGCAGTTGACTCAAAAGTCCCCTCGTTAGCTTTTCTGAGGCGCGCTGGCTTGCTCTATTCGACCTCGACAGAGGGACCTGGAGAGGCTGGGTCACGTCCCTCGCTTGGTACGTCTCCATTCTTTGGCTGGAGAGGTCGGTACATTGCCACGATTGCCCACACTGTTACATTTGACACTTGTTACATCGGCCACTCGAAAGCACCTCCCTTGCTGCTGCTTCTGAGGCGTGGCAAAAGCTGAGCACTGCTGCATTGTTATCCTTGGCTCTGCTCTTGACACGCCTCAGAAGCGGTCTCCGTTGCTTAAAACGTCTAAATTTCACACTGTCATCGTACGCACTTATGTGGTGCGCTCTCTCTTTAATCTACGCCGTCTTAGCTGTCTCAGTGTGTATTTCTCCTGTTGGCTCTTCAGCGGTACGGCAGCCTCCCCTGCTGAATCTGTATCACCATGGCGACGGCCCTTGGCGGTCAACTTGGTCCCTACCGCCTTGGTGTTAGGGTTAACGATGGCCCCTGGTGGTCATCTTGGTCTATCCTCATATGCTTGGCCATTCTACTGCCCCCACCTCTTCTCTCCACCCGCCTCCTACCCTCCGCCCCTCCCCCTGTTCTCCCCCCCACCCCCCCAAACCCCGCCACCACCATTCCTCCCCCCTTTCCCCCATTCTCTCGTCTCTCAGCAGGTTCGCAAACTACAAAAGCAAGCTCCCTCCGACCCAGCTCAACCACCTGCTCGATCTCCTCTTCCACCCATCCTCGGGCTCAATCTCTCATCCTCCTTCCCAACCTTCCCCATATCTCCCCCATCACCACCATCCCAGGTTTGCCAACTGTATTTTGAGTCGACTCAAAATACACCATCCCAGGTTTGCCAACGTGTCGTGTGACAAAGTAACGAGGTGACTTTTGAGTCGACTCAAAAGTCACCAGGTTCGCCAACTGTATTTTGAGTCGACTCAAAATACACCATCCCAGGTTTGCCAACTATATCAGCAAGCTCCCACCAGAGCAGCTCAACCAAATTCTCGATCTCCTCTTCCACCCATCCTCGGGCATCGGGCTCAATCATCCATCCTCCTCCCCCTCCTCCCCCTCCTCCCCCTCCTCCCCCTCCTCCCCCTCTTCCCCCTCCTCCCCCTCCTCCCCCTCCTTCCCCTATCTCCATCCCATGTTTGCCAACTACATCGGCAAGCTCCCCTTAGAGCAGCTCAACCAAATTCTCGACCTTCTCTTCGACCCATCCTCTAACATTGGGCTCATTCTCTACTCCCCCCTTCCTCCTGTTTCCCTTGTCTCAAACCCAGGTTCGCAAATTACATCGGCAAGCTCCCACCAGAGCAGCTCAACCAAATCCTCGATCTCCTCTTCCACCCATCCTCTGGCATTGGACTCAATCTCGCACGCTACCTCATCGGGGGCAGCTACAACCTCACCAACAGCCCCAGATTGGACCACATTACACTTTAAGTCCCCGGCTACTCTTACCCCCTTCCGCTCCCTCCCCTCCTTCCTTCCTTCCCCTCCTTTCCCCCCTAACTGCATCCCAGGTTTGCCAACTACATAGGCAAGCTCCCCCCAGAGCAGCTCAACCAAATTCTCGATCTTCTCTTCGACCCATCCTCTGGCATTGGACTCAATCTCGCACGCTACCTCATCGGGGGCAGCTACAACCTCACCAACAGCCCCAGATTTGACACTGCAGACTGGGAATCCCGGGCAATTCCCGGTTATAGACCCTCTAAAACCGGGCCGTATGATTGGACGAGGGACTGGCGGCAGCGGAAGGTTCTGGAGGGGGCTATAGCGAGAGGAGTGGATGAGGTGGATGCGATTGTGTACTCCCCCCCCTGGTGGATGACTATAACGGGGGATACATCTGGGGGGAATGCAGAGGGAGAGACGAATCTACGGCCGGATTCGTATGGAGCATATGCGGATTACATGGCGGATGTGGTTGGGCGGTTCCGGAGTCATTGGAACGTGACTTTTGCGACGATGAATCCAGCGAATGAGGCGCTGGAAGGGTGGTGGGTGAAGGGAGGGAGGCAGGAAGGATGCAACTTCAATGCAGCTCAGCTGGAGCGGCTGACTCTGGCGGTGGCAGCGGCTCTTAGACGGCGTAATTTGGGGACCCAGGTGGCGGGTTTCGACAGTTTCGTCGGAGCTACACTTGGGAAGCAGCACAGGTTTACAGCGAGGCTCAAGTCCAGCTTAAAACGGATCAATGTGCATCAGTACGTGCCGCCCCCATCCAACACCACGGACCCTCGGGAGTATATCGAGAACCTCTACGTGGGGATGGCGCGAATGGCAATAGGACTTGGGAAGGACGTGTGGGTGTCGGAGGTGGGTCCGATGTGGGTGGGGGGTGGCGACATCGACGTGGCACTGTTCATGGCTCGATCGGCCATTCAAGCCATCAACATCATGGGAGCCTCGGCTTGGATCTACTGGCAAGCGATCAACGGCGCATCGGCAACCAACCGAAACGCAATCAAATGGGGCCTCTTCACGATCCCCTTCAACCGGCTGAGCAACGAGACCGCTCCTCCTTTGGACATTGTTTTTTCGAAGAAATTCTTCGTTCTGAAGCAGCTTGCTCAGGGGTCTCCAAGGGGAAGCCACCCCTTGCAGGTTGATGCGGGGAACGGGTGTCACCATTGCGTGGCTGCCTTTTACCATCCCACCAGGCAATTCGTGTCCATCTTCATTGTCAACCAGCAAGACACCTCATACGACCTCGACTTCTCCTTTGTTTCTTTCGGGCGTTTTGACCCCGAGAGTCTGTGTCAAATGGAGATGTGGCGCACATCTCCAACTGAGGATGCCTCGCTGATTGCATCTCAGAGTTATGCAGACATGCCTGGTTCATTCTCCGCTACAGCTCTAGGGCTAAGCATTACGTCCATAGTGTTTTCAAATGTTACTTGGATGTAAGTGAAACGCTTCTCGTTGAATTAGCACACCTTTTGTGGGTACTATCCGGCTCGTCTACCCCATGATCCGTCCTCCAAACCCCCTCCAAACCAACCATTCCCCACACCTTCGAATGGTCTGACATTCTGGCCAACAGACGGGAGTGCAGCACCCCCAAAAAAGCGACACACCTTTTGTGACTCCTCCAAACCAACCAACTCCCGTCCGTCCGGTTGGCCAGAATTCCATACCATTTGAAGGTTTGGATTCCCAAATGGTTGGTCAATCAGGTCTGGCTGGACTGGAGGCAAGGCTCCAGCAATGCCTGCTCATTTGAGAAGACATGTCTTCACAATGTCTAGTCCGGTACCTAAGTCCTAGATTTGCCAGTGGGTTTACTGTACAAAAGGCTTCCGATCCGAAGAAGCGGCTTTTTTGCAAATGAATGTACCCGTGCATGAAACGGGTTGATTTAAATGCCTGGTTATCCGCTTGAGAACAGGGATCCAGTTTCCTGTCGTTCTATTGCTATTGGTCTTCAGATGAGTCCGGTTGAATGCTGCTGAGAGGCCATGTGTCGGAGACATCATGTGCACAAGACTGCATGTATTAACAAGGGAGGAGAAGGCAGAAGGGGGGGGGAGAATCGTTTTAAGGACACAAACGTCTTCAAATGAGACTGGTTGAACACTGCTGAGAGACCATGTGTCCGAGACATCATGTGCACAAAACTGCATGCGTCAACAAAGGTGAGACAGGCAGGGGAGGCGAAGAGGCTAAGAGGCAAAAGAGACGAAGAGGCAAAGAGGCGAAGTGGCAAAGAGGCAAAGAGGCAAAGAGGCAAAGAGGCAAGGGAGGCAAAGAGGCAAAGAGGCATAGAGGCAAGGGAGGCAAAGAGGCAGAGAGGCAAAGAGGCAAAGAGGCAAGGGAGGCAAAGAGGCAAAGAGGCAAAGAGGCAAAGAGGCAAAGAGGCAAAGAGGCAAGGGAGGCAAAGAGGCAAGAACAAAAGCCAAACTGGAATGGAAGACAAAAGGTTGAATGCTGCTGAGAGGCCATGTGTCTGAGACATCACGTGCACAAGACTGTATGAATCATGACAAGTGAGGAGAAAGGCAACAGGGGGGCTTTAGAGTCGACTCGGAAGGCAGCAGGGGGGCTTTAGAGTCGACTTGGAAGGCAACAGGGGGGCTTTAGAGTCGACTCGGAAGGCAACAGTGGGGTTTTAGAGTCGACTCGGAAGGCAACAGGGGGGCTTTAGAGTCGACTCGGAAGGCAACAGGGGGGCTTTAGAGTCGACTCGGAAGGCAACAGGGGGGCTTTAGAGTCGACTCGGAAGGCAACAGGGGGGCTTTAGAGTCGACTCGGAAGGCAACAGGGCGGCAAAGAATCATTTAAGGACAAACGGCAAACTGGAATGGAAGCCAAACGAGGAAGGAAAACAGCAAACACATTCTATAGATTTGAGGCGCCTCAAAACCAAACGAGGAAGGAAAACAGCAAACACATTCTATAGATTTGAGGCGCCTCAAAACCAAACGAGGAAGGAAAACAGCAAACACATTCTATAGATTTGAGGCGCCTCAAAACCAAACGAGGAAGGAAAACAGCAAACACATTCTATAGATTTGAGGCGCCTCAAAACCAAACGAGGAAGGAAAACAGCAAACACATTCTATAAATTTGAGGCGCCTCAAAACCAAACGAGGAAGGAAAACAGCAAACACATTCTATAGATTTGAGGCGCCTCAAAACCAAACGAGGAAGGAAAACAGCAAACACATTCTATAGATTTGAGGCGCCTCGAAACCAAACGAGGAAGGAAAACAGCAAACACATTCTATAGAAGAGATAAACGAGCAACAAGCAGCAACATACCTGTCCTTGTGCTCGGAAGTACATGAATGGAGTGTACCGCAAGAAGTTTGAAACTCTCGAGGTGTAGATGTCAGCATATCTAATGAAGGATAAGGCACAAAATCAAGCAGGCAGAGGCCAAGGCAGGCAGGCGGTGTCAATGTGTAATGTTTGCTGACAGACGGCATCCCCAAGAAAAGCTGCTCTTGAGTCAACTCAAAAGCAGGTGTACATGTGTGATGTCTACAGACAGACGGCATTGGCAAGAAAAACTGAGTGCGAAGGGCTACATTGGATGGCACGCGATTTAGGCACACAACTGACAGTGCGAAGAAATAGTAGAGGGGCATTCCAACTCACTTTTCTATTTGCCTGGTGATGTGGCTCTTATCCCAAAGTCCAGCTCGAGAGAGGTAACCCCATCTGGCAATCCCACATGAAAGGTTGGCAAACGTGAAGAAAATATGTGTTTTGCTTTTGAGAATATCAAAAACAAAACGTGAAGAAGGGGGGTCAAGAAGAGAAGCGCCGGCATTGAAAGGATGAAGAGGTGATTCTTTAGTCGATTAAAAAAACACCTGAGGACAGGAAAGACACCTGAAGAGGAGAAGACAGGGAAGCGTATGAAGAGGGGATTCTTTAGTCGATTAAAAAAACACCTGAGGACGAATAGGGGATTTTTTAGAATACTCAAAAATCTCTCACGAAGAGGGGAGGTGAAGAAGAGATGGGAAAGAGAGAAGACAGGGAAGCGTATTTTAGGTGTCTCCATCGGAGGTCTTTGCAGTGCCTTAATCATCCCAGTCAATTAGCTGGAGCCCAGTCAAGCGTGCAGTGCTATCGTGGCCATAAGTAAGTTGATCTGAGTGACCAATGCGAGAAAGATAGTCTCACCTGACAGCAAACAAGGGTGCAGAAAGACAGGATGCGATCGAGGAAGGGAAAAAAAAAAAAAAAAAAAAAAAAAAAAAAAAAAAAAAAGAGGGATAATGCCAGCTTTTACCATGTGTTGTGGCATGGCATCTCCGCGTTATTTCTCCAAAGGCCAAGTGAGCGATAACCCCTCTGCTGAAAACATACCTCGTTAAAAGCAGCCCCATCCGTCTCCAGCTAAGGGGCAATCCCCCAATTGAGTCGTGCCATCATCCACAGCAGCCACTGCATGCTCCTCACTAGCTCGCCATCCCCCATCTACCCCCTGCTGTGGACACCAGCAGCAGATACCCCCGCCCACTCCCATCTCATCCTGTTTACCAGCTCCCCATACTCCATCTCCCCCACTCTTTCCCACACCAATCATAGCTGCAGTGCATCCCACTGACACCAGCACCAATAGTCTCACCTCTCATTAAACGCCGCCCCATCAGTCTCCAGTAGAGTGGCAATCTCCCCATCTAATCGCGCCATGATCCACAGCAGCCGCTGCATGCTCCTCACCAGCTCACCAACCCCCATCTCCCCCACCGCTGAGAACATCAGCAACAGCACATACCCCCACACTCACTCACCTGTCGTTGAAAGCAGCCCCATCCGTCTCCAACAAAGGAGCAATCTCCCCATCTAGCCGCGCCATGATCCACAGCAGCCGCTGCATGCTTCTCACCAGCTCGCCATCCTCCATCTCCCCCACCGCTGCTGTCTGCGCCGCCTGCCCCTGCGTGCGCCGCTGCAGAGCCAGCCTGAGCTGGTTGAAGCAGTCGCCCACACGGTCCTTCTGCGCCATGAGATCAATGAGCCTGAGCCGGGTATCGTGGCCGTGGATCAAGGCCTCCACCTGTGCAAAAGTCCATAGTATTGGGGCACACAGGCATGAGTTTGAGTGCACCTGCCCCTGTGCGCGCCTCTGCAGCTGCAGGGCCAGCCTGAGCTGGTTGAAGCAGTCGCCCGCCCAGTCCTTCTCTCACTCACTCAAAAACACACCCTCTCTCTCTCTCTCCCTCGCCGGCGCGCACCTCTTGCTCCAGCTCGCGGCACACGAGGCACGTGCGCCACCTGAGGTGCAGCTTCGACTGCGACACGTCCGTGTAGATGTGGTCGCCCACGTAAAGAGTCTCGTCCCCTGCGAACCCCAGGGCGTTTTCCACCATCTGCGCACTACCACCGCAGTACAGACCTCCTGTGAAGAAAGAACGGAAACAAGGGAAGCCGAAACAAAGTGGTGAGCATGGGTCGCCAACGTACAGCGTCTCGTCCCCTGCGAACCCCAACGCATTTTCCACCATCTGTGCACTACCGCCACAGTACAGACCTCCTGTATAGGGAGATAGCAGTATGGAATAACAATAAGAGGCACGCCCATGTGGATGTGGTCGCCCACATACAGCGTCTCGTCCCCGGCACCCATAGCCTTTTTTCCCACCATTGAAGCACTCCCTCCAATGGTGGAAAGACCTCCTGGATTGGGGGAGACGAGGAGGAGGGTGGAAAGCTAGAAAGGCTGTGTGTAGATGTGGTCACCCACATACAACGTCTCATCCCCGTCACCCACATACATAAACCCTAAAGCCTAAACCCTGTGTGTAGATGTGGTCACCCACATACAACGTCTCATCCCCGTCACCCACATACATAAACCCTAAAACCTAAACCCTGTGTGTAGATGTGGTCACCCACATACAACGTCTCATCCCCGTCACCCACATACATAAACCCTACAACCGAAACCCTGTGTGTAGATGTGGTCACCTACATACAACGTCTCATCCCCGTCACCCAGAGGTATATGTGGTCGCCCACGTGCAACGACTCATCCCCAGACATGCATTCACAATCCCAGACATGCATTCACAATCCCAGACATGCATTCACAATCCCAGACATGCATTCACAATCCCAGACATGCATTCACAATCCCAGACATGCATTCACAATCCCAGACATGCATTCACAATCCCAGACATGCATTCACAATCCCAGACATGCATTCACAATCCCAGACATGCATTCACAATCCCAGACATGCATTCACAATCCCAGACATGCATTCACAATCCCAGACATGCATTCACAATCCCAGACATGCATTCACAATCCCAGACATGCATTCACAATCCCAGACATGCATTCACAATCCCAGGCAGTCATTCACACCATGATTCGATCCGTACATTCTCTCATGCCAGAATGTGGCTTCACAGCACTTTTGAGTCGACTAAGAAGTGATTCTCTCATACCATAATGTGGCTTCACAGCACGT